TTTTATTTTACATTATATTAATAAATAGCAGTTTGGGGGCTACAAATTCTCATTTCAATATTCTGTTGGTTAGCCTGATTCGATTTCAGAATGTACATTTTAAAATCTGTTATGAAAACTGCCAAGACATTTATTAGTATGATGCCTGCTTAATACCATTGTTAGTATACTTTTTACGGTGTGTTATAATTACTTGTCATTTATGCTGATTCTATACTCCTGAGGGCAGGACTATATCTGCCTTGATATCAGTGTATCCCCAACGCTAGAACAATGCCTGGCTCATAGTAGGCATTCAATAAACATTAATGAGGTGTGTAAGGAGATAGCAATTTATAAGTTTTTGAAAACATTTAAAAATTCTTAGAGTGGCCATTTGTTGTCATTAATTCACACATCCATTGCACTGTATTGTGGTCCTTCTTTCCAGGTTCTGTACTAGGCTCTGGGGCTACAGTACAGAGATAAGACTTGTTTGTTTGTTTGCCAAAGAGGGGCCCAGAAAGAGTCCTGTAACCAGACAGTTACAATGCACTACAACATTATACATTTATAAAAATTCAGACAAGTGTTGTAGCAGCCTAGAAGATGAAGCAATTTAGCTTTACCTAGGAGAGCTGGGGAGAGCTTCAGAGGATGTGACATCTGAGACAGACCTTAAAAGATGAGCAGTAGTTTGCTAGACAGAGAAGGAAGAAAGAGCAATCTAGGTAGAGGGAAAAGCAGCAGAGAGGCCTGGAGTCCTGAAAGAGAGATTCCAGAGGGCTAAAGTATATGGTGTAAAAAGTATGAATAAAAATGACCACCCTCCTCCTATCTGAGGTCTGAGCTAGAGGAGAAATCACCTAATATTTAATAATTACTCAAGTCCTGCTTTTAACTGTATAAGTAGCTATCTAACACTATAAACATCTCTGCTCTATTACATATGTGTTTAAAATATATAAACCACTTAGAGAATTTATTCAACTCTTTTTTGTGGGGCTTTTTTGACTAAGAGTTAAAATGGAAAAAAGTTCACCTGTCAGGTGACATAAAGCCAATTTCTACTAAATGTGCCAGAATAATTTTTCTCCATCTCAAGAACAGTTAGTCTTCAGTCTATTCATTACTGTCTTTTTATAGTATTTTTATTTAATAAAACCTATTAAGACTACCATACAAATCTCTTTACTTATGCTTTTATCTTTTAACTGATCAATTTTTATATTGCTGACATCCCTTCTTCACCATTTGCTCATTTAAAAATTCATAGTATGTGAGATATGTCTCCGGGGAAAATGTCTATAAAATTTGTTACAGCTGGCAAATGTGTATGAGTCAGTGATAGCACATGACTAAATGCTTCACAGAAAATAAAATTTGTTTCTGTAGTAAGCAGAACTGTTTAAATGTTATTTATTTTTATGTTTCAAAGAAAATATATTGTGAAGTGTTGCATTGATTTAATACGCAACAATGTCTGTGTACACGCTGTAGAAGGAAAATTTATGAAACCTTTGCACAACTCCTTTAATTGAATTTTCCAAATCTCTCACCACACACAAATAATCAATATCTTCTGCAGAGAAAACCAGTCAGAATTATTACAGTCTTTCTTTTCAATTTTGTTGTCATCAGCACATACAGAGCACCTGGATATTTGTAATGTCTGATAGCAAGTTATTTACACCTCTTAAACGCATAATTGCTATTAAGTGAGCCCAAATCTATAGTTTTAAAATTTTTTTACCGATTTTATTTAAAAGAAAAATTATCATACTTCTAGTAAAGTATTAAAACATTTAAATCATGGAAGAAATTATTAAAAAGGCTGTGAAAAGTAATAAACAGTTTGCTTTTACTTAAATCCTAGACAAATCTCAAGTAAGCATTTTTAGCAGTTGAAATGAATCCCCAAAACAATGATAAATACTGTAAAACAAGAGCATTAACATTATTAATAGGAAAGGTATGACCCACGTACAGCATACATGACAGCTGAATGCTTATAAAGAGCTGAGGACTACAGTTGTACATTAATGTATATTTGTACTACCAAAATTAATAGCTACATTTTTTATCTCCAGATAAACCTAGAATGTTAAAGCATAAGGTGGAATTTTTGTTGTTTCTCCTAAAACTCATCATGTCTAAAATTCAAACCTCAGTGCTTTTAAAATTGAAGTATCTGTTTGAAAAAATATACTGTTTAATGTTAAGATAAAATAGAAAAAACCAAAAGGTTAGTAATCTTCTGGGAGTAAAATTATTTAGCTGATATGATGAATACTTTTTCAAGTCTGAGTGGGGTAAAGATCAACATATTTTTATGTTTAAAAATACTTTAGTGGGTGGTTGGAATGAAAAGGCAGTATCAAATTATTTTAGAGTCTTAGAATAGAGAGGGAGTTTAAAATTTGTCCTGTAGTCTAAGAATTTGATAACTTTAAAATCCTATAACCAAGATGAATTTTACAATGAAATAACACACTAAGTTAGCTAAAGAAAACAGGAACATTATAGTGTATGCTTTTTTTAAAGAACAGAGCTAGAAACTCTGAAATATTTTCTATTATAAACAGCTGAAACAATCAACTTTTTGAACAATGTAAAGTTCAGATGGTTACATTTCATTTAAAATATGCATACTGCAACCTACACAATTATTTTCAAAACAGATAAAATATGTTTTGGACTGAAGCTAAATGTCTAGATTTCATATCTTGGCAATTGCTCTACAATTTGCTTACATTCTTTTCAAAAACATTTTGTTTATTGGAAGTACTAGTCATAGACAAACAATGATGGTATTTTTTAATATTGCCAGAAAAAATGAAAACACTTAAGTACTATATAATGGCATCTATTGACTAAAGAATATCTGTATCAAGTTGTTTTAAGTAGAGGTTGACTATGTAAAGTAAATAAATTTCATGCTTTACCATGTGATGATAATGTGACATTCCATCTGTCTCAACTCATTGAATGGTCATAAGTTTTAAATCT